ATCTGACATGTGTTTGACCTGACCCGAGTTTGACTTGATATGTGCATGACCTGACATGTGTTTGAGTCCTGACATGTTTGACCTGACATGTGTTTGACCTGACATGTGCATGACCTGACCAGTATTGACTTGATGTGCACGACCTGACCTGTGTTGACCTGATGTGCACATGACCTGATGTGTGTGTTTGACCTGACATGTGTGTTTGACCTGACATGTGTGTTTGACCTGACATGTGTGTTTGACCTGACATGTGTGTTCGATCTGACATGTGTGTGTCCTGACATGTGTTTGACCTGACCTGAGTTTAACTTGACATGTCCATGACCTGATGTGTGTGTGATCTGACATGTGTGTGATCCGACATGTGTTTGACCTGAAATGTTCCTAAGATATGACTTGTATTCACAGAAAGTGTATGTAGGGTATAATCAAGTGTTTATGTCATTGCAGAAAGTTCAGCACCACAATCAATAATATACAAGCTAGGATGACCAAGATGTTTGACAAAGCATTGCAGAATGACAAGGCACCGTTAGCTATACACTATGGTAGTATTGCTGGTTTATCTGAACTAGCACCAGAGGTAATGTTTTTGGTTTCTGTCTATCCATTCATTCATTTGGCAATCATGATTGATTTTGTTCAAAGTTGGTAGGTACATCTGTTTCTTTTGTAATTTGATTTGAAATGGTCAACTGGATGGCTAAGTTGTTTCATTTTTTAATGTACCTGCAAGCGTTTCTTGGACATGCCTTGACGAATTTTAGTTCAAAAACAAGTCATAATGATATACATATGAACTTTGATTTGTTTTTTATTTCTGTGACGTTTCACAGGTGGTTGCCATTTTTGTCCCAGAAATCATTCCAGCATTGTACATCCACCTTCCATTAAATCAGACTAATTCTATATGATGTGCGACATTGAAATTATGTGTGTACATATAACTAATTAGGGAGGGGAGGGGAGGGGAGGGCGGTGTAACAGATTGCAATCATGTTACTTCTATTACATGTACATTTTGACACAGTCACACTCTCTGATTCTCAAACCTGTCAGATGGTAAATTTCATTTTTGATTTAAACTACCAGGTATATGGTTTTATATCTTTACCGTAATTACAAAATGTCTTTGTTACCATAGTAACATATTAATCTAGAGTATTGTTAACAGTACTAATTATTATCTTTCTAATACAGGTGATAAAATCTCAGGTTCTTCCAAGAATTAAATTTCTTGGTGAGAGAATAAAAACTGCTACAGAGGGTCCAGTATTGAGTAATGTTGACAAGATTGCTGCAGAACATCTCAAAAGTCTAATTTTGGTGAGTATGTTCTGTACAAAGTTACTGTGTTTTCTCTGTACTTTGTTCATTACTCTGTTCATTGTTACCACTGCTGATATACTGGTACTCGAACAGGTGTAAATGCAAAACGAAAATTCACACCTTGGATTTTAATTGATGCAAATTTGTCAAAACAGTGTCAGATTTTTAAAAAAATATCTGTTGTTTGTTTAACCAATCATAGGCAGGGCACTTTTTTGTGGGTATCAAAACATAGACATCTGGTGTACAACATTTGTAACTGTTAATAGTAAAACTAGGAACAAACTACCTGACCACTTGTAGTTGCATGTCAAACATCTGACAGTACTTC